CGGCGCGAGACGTCCCGTCGACCTTGGCGACGCGAGACGCCCCGTTGACCGCGGAGGCGCAAAACGCCCTGTCGCCCGCGGCGGCGCGAGACGTCCCGTCGACCTTGGCGACGCGAGACGCCCCGTTGACCGCGGAGGCGCAAAACGCCCTGTCGCCCGCGGCGGCGCGAGACGTCCCGTCGACCTTGGCGACGCGAGACGCCCCGTTGACCGCGGAGGCGCAAAACGCCCTGTCGCCCGCGGCGGCGCGAGACGTCCCGTCGACCTTGGCGACGCGAGACGCCCCGTTGACCGCGGAGGCGCAAAACGCCCTGTCGCCCGCGGCGGCGCGAGACGTCCCGTCGACCTTGGCGATGCGAGACGCCCCGTTAACCGCGGCGACGTGAAACGCCCTGTTGCCCGTGGCGGCGCGAAACGCCCCGTCGCCCGCGGCAACGCGGAACTGAAGACGCAAAAGTCCGAGAATGACGGCGACGGTGAGCAGGTGGCCGCCGCTCCGTCTGGTGCGCGGCGCCGGCTCCACGGCAAGCCATTGAGCGTGCGCGACTCTGCGCGGAAGTGCGATCTGTGCGAGATGACGTTCGCGACGCAGTGGCACCTCCAGCGTCACTCGGCGACGAAGCACTCTGGCACGGTCGCCGCACACGCCTGCCGTCTCTGTGCGGCGACGTTCCTGTCTCGCGCGCTGCTGCTGCGTCACACAGCACGCAGCCACAAGGGTCACAGCGTCGGCAAGCTGTCGGCGGTGCCCGCCGCATCACGCGTCGACAATGTATTCTCCGCCGCCGACATGGTCGACGCGCGCAGAACCTCCAAGTTTGAGTGCGACGTGTGCGAGAAGCATTTCAGCCGCGCGCACGGCCTGCGGCAGCACATGGTCGCGCACGCCGAGAAGCGGCACGTGTGCGGCGTGTGCGGGGCGGCATTCGCGCGCGCCTGGTCGCTCGGGCAGCACGCGCACACGCACCGCGACGTAAAGCCGTACGCGTGCGGCTCGTGCGACTCGCGCTTTGCGCAGCGCGGCTCGCTGCTCGTGCATGAGCGCACGCACACGGGTGCAGCGCCGTTCCGCTGCCGCTACTGCGGCCACGGCTTTAAGCAGAGCAGCAGCCTGACGCAGCACGTGCGCCGGCACCTCAACATCAAGCCATACGCGTGCGACGTCTGCGGTGCGGCGTTCGTCGCCGGCGGCGACCTGCAGAAGCACAAGCTCGTGCACACAGCCGAGAAGGCGCACGAGTGTGATGTTTGCGGCGAGCGCTTCGCGAAGACCGGCTACCTGCAGCGCCACTATCGCATCCACACCGGGGAGAAGCCGTATGAGTGCAAGCAGTGTGGCAAGTGCTTCCGGCAGCAGAACCACCTGGATAAGCACAAGCGGACGCACTGGGGTTTCAAGTAAGTCGCGAGGAATCGAAATTGATGATAAAATAGCGGAATCGCTTACGATGTGGGCGTCTGCGTCTCTTGTGGTATTCGCATTTGTATACTGGTTGTGCAACTGTTTAGTGTGCAACCCACGTGTCATGTCGCATGTGCCAGGCAGGTGTGACATCTAGTGGTTAAATATGGCAATTTATCGCCATTTCTTCATACGCTGACGAATGGTTATTTCCGAAATTTACTATCAAGCATCAGCACCTGGAAATTAATTGTGGCAGTAGAAACCCATGATTGATATATGTCACATCTTCCAATGCGTATGCATGTATATTTTATGTTCTAGGTATGCCGAGGTCTGTGTGATGTGTGGTAAGAATGTAAGACCGGAAAACATGCAAATGCATCTGAAGAGAATTCACAAACAAGACGTGCAGTTCGTCTGAAAACGTCGTCAAATCAGGTACGTACTAATTAGAAATTTCAGGATCATCTATTGATTAGAATCGAAAGTTGATCGTTTGCAGCTACCGATTAAATAATCGATCATGAAAACCAAGAAACAATTATCAAAATTGGCTATTGGGAGTAAGAATAGCACTGCAAACTCTCAGCAATGCTCATAACACTAGCTCTTTAACTTCTTTGTTATTCGCAATTAATTGCAAAAATGCTAACTGCAATTTACCCTGAAAGTACCCTTAAAACATTTCTTGACAATTTTATTCAACATATCACATGTTGAATAACAGCAGCTGCAGATATTTTTTATACTTATGTGTACATAACTATTAACTAATTAACAATAATTTGGTATAATAGTGTTCCCTTTCTCTTCAAGATAATGAAGCCATTTTGAAAAAATATAACAAATTCATGAATGAAAAAATATATTGGTAGAACAAGCTTTGTAAACGTCTTATTCTTCTGAAGCTTAATATATTGCTGAAAGTATATATTAATTCTCCCATGAAACTACACTATGGAAACAGACTAGTTCTCTTGTAAAATAATAGAGAAAATTAATTCATGCTTGCAGATAAGGTCAGATAAAATCAAATCATGCATGCACCATGATGAATAACTGGATATCCGTTTATAATTATTGATCAGCCGGTTATAACCGATAATCGATTTTGAAATTCCAGCCAATTCCCATCGCTAGTTGTAATTTAGACATGGGATCATGTACAACACGTGCAGTCGCCAACCAGTGAACAGCTAATTAATGTGTGCCTACGTGTGTGCTGAAAGACTGCTAAAGTGCAACTCGGCAGCCGCTGTAGTAAAACCGACAATCTGCTGGTTGATCAGTGTTTTTAGCTTCGGGGTTTGATGGCTAGATTCATGGCCGGTGGGTGTTTTTCTTACCCTTTGCTTGTCTGTTCCTTAAATATATGAAGGGCATTCATGACTTTGCATTGAAATTCAAATAACGCGTTTTTGACAAATTTGTAAAATGATCTATCACTGTTATACACTGACGCTAACACATTCGGATAGTTTTACCTTTGGTCTGCTACTGTGCAACTGGAAGTTACAAACAAATATAAGGAGATTACAAACTCAATCAAGATTATTACACATTATTATCCTCTCATACTTATACTTTTACATGTTAGATGCAGTTTGCTGTATGAGTAATGTATTTATGAACGTGATATTCCATAAATTTTGTGTGATTGGCATGTGAAGAACATGGCACACAGAAGAATCATGTAAAAAGTAAATGAACATTTGACTTCAGAATTGTACTTTTGTGGCTAACTCTGCCCATGTAGCCCTTCGCTCTGCCACAGACCTGCTGCGCCACAACAGGCGTGTGTGGTGGAGCGGAGGGCTACACAGGTCGCGTTATTTTGCTATATGCTAATTACATGCATTTTTTGTGCATTTTTTTTACTTCAGTTTGGCATAAATTCATGATGTCCAGTTGTAGGTCCACGCATGGACAGTGATAAAGTGCGAAGCTTACCACCTCCCCATGTACGTCTATAACGATATTTGAATTATATTGTTGCATTTGAAGCAATGTATTCATTTTGATTTGTTTATAACCTGCTGCAGGAGAAAAGATCTTCACGTGTGCAACTTTAAAATAGGATATTGATAATGCTGTTGTTGGATCTAATGCCCTAGTATGAGCAAGTATCTTACTTTATAGTGTTGCTGTTGTTCTCAATTCTCTGTCTTGATTTAAATCGTTAAAGCCTCGTTGTTATATTTCACAATTCTGGTAGAAATGAACTTTTTATCAAACGAGTGCAGTGTATTGCTTGCCCAGCAGCAATACGAAGCTCGTAATAACTGCCTGAATGTCAGAATTTATTGTGTTATCTGCTCCTCATTGCTGCAGAATTTATGATATTAAAACACTGAGATCAGTGTTGTATTTGATGTTTTTTGGATGTTTGATTGTGTATATAGGGAGTCCCACAGCCTCAGGACTGCTGATTTTTGAACGACAAGCTTTTTAATGCTATTGCCACTTGAATTGAAATTTTTATGGTGGAGAGAGAAATTATTATCGCTCTCACTTTTTTTGTTTGTAATGGTGGTGGTCTTGTTATGCGATGTCTTGTTTGCACACGAGAAAGTAGAATGCCCAGTACCAGCTGCCTGTATAATTTAGTTATAGTTGTTCAATATCGAATCAAAGTCAAAATGGGCATAGCACTGTTATGTGTGCCTGTGACACCATGTGTTCGAACATAATGATATTGCTCGGTATAACGTAGTACACATAATGCTAATTGTAGCAAATGACAATTGCGATCTCACTGTAATAATGGTTCATTTTGTAAAGTAAGCGTGAGAACGAATAGCGTAGTGTTGAAATGGAAACTAACTGGATTTACTTTGTTATTTTAAGTTTATTTAAGTTGAATTTAACAGTTCTTTGTCGGATTACAAGATAATTATTACGTCACAGATAGAGAACTTACTATAGCCTGACTAAGACATTGTGTGGTAAAGCGGTAATGTCACCTTGAATGTTTGGAATGAGTAATTTTGTGACTTAAATATGAACTATTAAAATGAATATGAATATGAAAAATTAAATATAAAAATATAAACTATGAAAATGCAGACATGGTTTTATTAATTCTCTATGGTTAGATTCTTTATAGAGCTAAAACGTTATTTATATTTATAACTTATTTGTAGCTAATTAGCGATGTGATGAATAAACTTCTGTGACAAGGGTGACATAGTAAGTTTAAACTCACAATTGGTTACATACACACCTAGAGGCACTATGGAGTGCATACCTCCGCGAACTAAAGTAACACTATAATAGAACATTATCTATATTATGACACTACTGATAATATTAAAGGCATAATTCGACCATCGATTATGCAATTTTAACGAATGCTACAGTAACTGGCACCTTGTGTAGTTAATAAGTACATTACCTTATAGCCAAACGCGTATTAGTTTGTCCAATATCACTGCTGGTTACTAAGAAATGTCTAATTGAAATCCGCAGTCCAAGAAATCGGTTGTTGACAGTTAAAAACCGTCATGCCGGCCGTAACCGGTCGTAACTGGCGAGGCGGTGTCATACAGATTATAGTGCACCGGACATTTTCGCACGTATGCTCGGCCGTCAGTGATTTCGATCCTTGTAGTCTGAGTGCGCATTCCGTACGTTATGGTTTTACTTTAGTATTATAGACATGTCTTAGCTATGATCCCTGTGAGTCTTGAATTTATTGAAGGGCGATTAGCTTAATTAATTAGCAAACATGTACGCGCGGTATCGCTCATACTCGAGTCATAGGCTAAATGCCAAATTGAAAACGAAACGTCACAAATTCTATTTTTATCCTCCAATTACGGAGTCAATCATTTAAGTCGGAGCAATTCCTCTGTTTAGACGCATGTGGAATGACTCGTAGAGCTCTATGTTTGCTGGGTCACTGAGGCATTAGTTGAAGTTGTTGTTCACTTACGTTGAGTTATCATTGTATACAAAACACAAAACTAAAGCTCTCCTTGTTTTGCACAGGTATGCTAGCGAATCCATGATTTCATCAGAAGGTTTCTCTCAGTTGGATATCCTTGAGGCAAGTTTGTCAGATTGTAAGCATAATGGAGCAAATGAGGAACGTTGGCCTGAGTGTTGAGGCTTCGCCACATGGGTTAAGCACTGTAGACAATCAATGGAATGGTCTCAATTTTTTGGCAGATATTTGTGTCCAGCAAAACCCACTAGGGCAAGAGCAGGCAATCAGCAATGAATTGCCTCTGCACTCTCTTACTGGTAAATCACCATTCGTTAAAGAAGTAAAGGTGAAGTCACCACTTTTGGCTAAAAAGCAGATACGGGGATACCCAAGCGTAGCCAATATCAAAATACCAAACTTATTAGTAGCAGGTCGTTATAAGTCACCCGCAGCAATACTTGCAAGAAGGTCTGCCAGACTAGAACAATACACGATTATTAGTAACACACAAGAAGGAGTGCAACATGTTACTACAGTTACGACAGGAAACGAGCAAAGCGGTCAAGATTCCATTCCACAGGTAATATGCCATTCACCACCCACGGAGGTGGCTGTGCCTGTTTCAGATGTATCGGATGAAAACCAATCGGATCGTAAACATTTTAAGCATTATATGAACGTGAGAACCCTTGTTGAACCAACCTCGAAACCTGACAAAACAGTTCCTCAGCGGTCTGTACGCTCATCAGACCGTGCCTCCTTGTCACAGATTGCCTCTAATACAGGTCAACCTAGCATTAAGCCAATGATAGAGCAAAGTAGAACCGTCGTAGTTGTTCTGAACCGTCTGTCTACGCCAATAGATTTCAACGTTGGCAAATTGTCATCGACTGTTGATCTCAAATCGGAAAGTGAACGTACCTCCAAATCTGCAGGAAGGAGCGTGACTCAAGCAGCATCGTATGAATGCGGAATTTGCACGGCAAAGTTCACAGACATCTGTGACTACAGGGAGCACGAAAAGTCGCATGAATCCACTGTTCAACGCAAAATCCCCGGGCTACCGTACGTTTGCCTACCTTGTGGACGCAGGTTCAGGTCTGAAGCCCAACTTATGGATCACGTGACGTTGCACGCCAGCAATGAACCGTATGCTTGTGAGAACTGTGGTCGGACGTTTTGCTCCTACAATTTATTCAAAGATCACGAACGAATGCATTTTGAGTACCAGTGCCCTAGTTGTCTGGAAAGATTTGGAACATCGTCACTCCTAGATGAGCACTCACAAAGCTGCCCTGCACGAGTTCAGGCAACAGTAGGTAAAGACACCGAAAATACCGAAGTACCGGCTGACGAAGGTGGACGAAGAGAAAGCGGCGATGGGAAATTGTCTCTCATGTTCAAGTGCCCCAAGTGTTCAGTCTCGTACAAGCGCGCGAAAAGCCTGTGGAATCACGAA